GGGGGGGGGGGGGGTGGCAGAGCCAGACTAAGATAGATTACCTAGGCCTCTTTGCAGGAGGCTTAGGGTGGAATGAGAAAGGTTAATACTGTTATTCCGGTTTTAAGTTAGTAATAAAAAGAAGGGGTGGGGGTGGGGATAACCTCAGGAGACCAAGGTTGGGTCAGTTTGAACTTAAGATTCCCCAAACATGTTGGTTCCCATTCCTTGACTGTTTTGGACAGGAAAGAAAGTCTTAGGAAGTTGAAGAGGTGGGGAAGAGCATGGCTCAAAGCCCAGACGTCAGGACCCGCCTGGCCCATCCTCCCTCAGGTCAGGTTGTACAGTGATTTGCAGAGGCTAGAACTGAAGGAGAATGGGGCTAGAGGCAGGCATTTCTGGGTCCTGGAACACAAAAGAAGAGGCACGCCTTCCTGGTGCCCCTTCATTCCGTGGTGGCTGCTGCTGGGCTATCTGCCCTTGAGAGAGACGGCAATCTTGATACAGCCCAGGCGCTTCCCCTGGCTGCTCAGGACACTCTGGATACGGTAGTTGCCGGTGCTCAGCCAGCTCGGCAGCTCCAGGTCAGGCACTGTGAAGTTGCTCGTGGGCAGTGAGTAGGTGCCCTGAGGGGGGAGAAGTGAGCCCAGGTCAGGGTGGCAACTGCCTATAGCTGTGATCTTCTCCCTCTTCCCATTCTGCTAGGAGTCAGGAGGGCTGCCATAGCCCTTTTCCAGGCTGAGTAAGTATAAAGGACTCCAGTAGTCACATCTAACAGTTGCCCCATTCCACAGATGGATAAACCAAGGCCCCTGGCCTCCAACAAAACAGTTCTCATATACCTACAGAAGCAATAAGCAGAATGGGAAAAACCACACCCTCTCTCACTCTACCACAGGAGTGACATCAGTGCCTTGACACCCCAAGTACTCACTTCCTTGAAGGGACAGTGGCAGGGCAGCCCATAGCTGTGCAGGGGCTCCGGGCAGGGCTCTCCAGGGGGGAAGTATAGGTCCAACAGTTGACAGGAGTCCTCATAGGTACAGCTGCCTAGCTGTTCTACACAAGGGATCTTGACCCAGAAGCCAGCCACTTCCTTCTCCACGTTGAGCTCCACCTGTCACAGGATTTAACCAAGGTGACAGTGTGAGCTCCAGGGCACACATTTCTGCTCCTGCCTCTTGAAGTTTTGTATCATAACCAGCTGCATAAGGCTCATAGACCAATCTCAGAGTAATCTATACGTTTCTACTGGTTTTTTGTTTGGTTGGGTGATTTTGTTTTGTTTGGTTTGATTTGGTTTGTTTTTTTGAGACAGGGTTTCTCTTTATTGCTTTGGAACCTGTCCTGGAACTAGCTCTGTAGACCAGGCTGGCCTCAAACTCAGAGATCCGCCTGCCTCTTCTCCCTAGTGCTGGGATTAAAGGTGTGTACCATCAACACCCGGCCATTTCCATTGGTTTATTTGAGGTAGGGTCTAAACCAGGATGACTTTGAACTTGCAGTTCCCGTCTCTTCTTCCAGGCTACCATGAAGGGTAGAAGGTTTGGCTTGGAGCTGGGGAAGGGGGTGAGGTTCTCACTCAGTCCCAGTATTCACCTTTCCTGAGCATGTGGTGGGCACTGATCATCAAATGTGAATGTCCCACAAATCATCTTCCAGTTGTCACTATCCAATGTCACTATCCACTAGCCAGCTGGCTGTGGCACGTGTCCTGGGTGGGCCTGCCTTCCAGGTCCAGTCTTAGCTATTGGAACTTTCTCTGTGTTGGCTGTTCCTGGCTCACTCATAGTTTTTCTGTTGCCCCACAAATGGCAGGATTATAAATGGAAATGTAGCTAGGCCCAGCAGTGCACATCTAAATCATGGTACCCTGGAAGAAAAGGCAGGGGAACTGTAAGCTCAGGCCTGCCTTGTCTACATTTTTCTAGACCCTGTCTCAAACAAACAAACCAAATGGAAATGTGTGGAGAGGTTACTCTGAGATTGGTCTATGAGCCTTATTGTGGCTGGTTACAGGAGCTGAATGACCTCCCCAGACTCACCTGGATGAGAAATCTAGAATGTTCTTCCCACTGCCAAGCTACCCTGGTCCCACTCCTGTTCTAATGACTGCCTACATACTGAGGAGAAGCAGCCAGGACTCCCAGGCAAACAGCCCAGTTGCACTTGGTATAAGGAGAAGATTAACTATATCAGTTGTCATGAATGCCAGTTGTCTCTCAGAACCATATCTGTGTTCCACCAAAGCCAGCAAGGGGAAGGTGCAGAGTGGACAGCATGAAGTCAGCACTCCACATGGTTCCTGTGAATGTTTCAGGACACTGTGTGTGTGTGT